TTCTCTGATTTATGGCTGGTTTTACCTACAAACGTTAACATACATACATGCACACACCTTTCCCTATCCATCTATATTTACATTTTTCCCGCAATTAGTATATACATCAAATGGGAAAAAGCCACTCAGTCTTTTTGGCTCAGTGTTAATTTGACGCATTTGCGAGAATGAATCCTAATTCTGACGATTTTCGTAATATGACGAGCTAAATCGGAGACCAGCCTTGCCCGAAACGTTGGAGGCTGTTTCATGGACTGCAGCAGACTAAACGCTAAGCGGCTGCAGCCCAACGAGAACCAGCCGTCTTGGTGAGCTCGATCTACGAAACTGTACTTCATACACTTTCACACGAAATGAAAGTTTTCCCATCAATTCTTCCCAATCTACGTTTCTCCATTTTAAGCACACTCTGTTGCTATGCCCAAACCAATGGCGATAACACATTTACTCACCCTAATCACCATCCTTGCCGCTGCTTTTCTCCAAAACCAGATAGTACAGCCAGTAAAAGCAGTTGTAGAGAAGAAAACAGGCGGGGAAAAGAAACCGGCTATAACTATCTATCTCTGACTCCGTGGTTGTGGTCGGTTTTACGGCCTTGTTCTTCTCCTTCTGGTGGTCGATCACTTGATTGGTCAACAGCGCCTCCAACTCCTCACAAAACTCCAGCTGACCACGTGTCAGCTGATGCGAGTTCTGCAATTGCACCAAGTGTTGCTGTTGACAGGCGGTGCACCATTTGGCCAACTCTTGACGAACAATCTCCCGCACGTCGCGATGCCAAGTGTCGGCGCGTTTGCGTCGAAGCATAGTGAGCGCCAGAGCGTATTCGACGAGCACCCCGATCACGAAGATGATGGAGAAGATCATCCAAATGTCGATCGCTTTGATGTAGGAGACACGAGGCAGGCTATTGGAGACGCTGGAGGCCTGGGTCAAGATGCCGAGAAGACTGAGAAGACCCAGCGGCACTCGGGCCGGCGCCGCGTCCACGTTCACCCAGAAGCTGAGCCACGACACCATAATGATGAGAATGTTGGGTATGTAGGTGGTCGCCAGGTACGAGCTGAGCTGGCGCTTCAGCTTGAATGTGGCATTCAGGCAAGTGTAGTTGCCGGTCGACGTTTTCGAGCTGTTCGTGCAGTCGAATGTGTCGAATGTCTCGGGCGTGTTGAACTCCGAGATGCGCATCCGACCGCTCAGATTCACCTTCTCTTCGTGCCACACAAACTTGAGCTCATTCAGAGTGTAGCCGTAACTGCCGATGTTGAGGCCGCAGACTTGCATGTCCATGGGGAAGTTCTGCAGCTCCATCTGACAGGAGAAGCGCATTGTGATCTTCTGGCTGTAGAGCACATTGCCGTCGGGCATCACTCGCAGCAGATAGTTGGGCACCGTCATGGTGTGCAGATAGCCCTCTTTGCCGTTCCTGAAAAAGAGGTCGGGCAGCCAAATGTCATTTTTCAGTTTCGACGAAACTATGGGCTGTTTGTACTGACGGAACTCGTCGATATGGGCCCAGGCCAGACGCTTGTCGAACCAAATCTGACGTAGATAGGCGTCTATGTAATAGTCCATGTTGCGCACGTCTATCGAGAAGATGGCCAACACACGCATGTTCACGCCCACTTCAGTGGGTGTGTTGTCCAACTCGGTGGGTCTCTCGTGTTTCAGGTAGTTGCGGAAGATGTGGTTGACAATCCGGTCGCGCGTGGACGAGTTGCCCGGACTGCTCGACTGCCTCTTTGTCGTCATGCTGGGCAGAAGTGGCGCCGGTCCCGGACCCGGACCCGGACTCGGACTCATACCCGGCTTGCCC